ATGTGAAGGTTTGAAGGGTAATATCTGCTGCTGTGACGTAGATGAACAAGTGGATGTGTGACTCCATCCACAGTGGGCTGTGTGTGGGCGTGGGCCTTCCTCTGTGCTCGTGTTCAGCCTGAGTGTGTGTGTGTGTCAGGGACTGTGCGGGGGTATGAAGAGGTCTGCATGTGGCTCAGTGTGTTTGTGTGTACAGTGGGAGTTGCTTGCATGTGAGTGTGTAGGTTGTGGTGCTCTGGGTGGTGGGTGTTCATGTATGAGGGGGTTGGGGAAACCTGAGGCGGGGCCATGGTGGTAGCAGCAGGAGTGATAGTGTCACCATCGTGCCCGCCAGAGGCAGCAGGGGGAGCAGGTGCAAGCAGAGAGCTGAGTAGGGGCTGGGGTGGTGGTCCCAGGACTCCACACGCCAACTCTTCAGCTTCTGGGGCAGGGCTGGACCAGGCAGACACTGCGGTCTGGTGGAATTGGTAGGGGTGGAGGGAGGGAGCATTTCTGTGGTCCCTTGGTGGGGTAGGGGTTCCTGTAGCCACGATGCCGAACCCATGAGAGATATGGAGAGAACCCCTCCTCTGCTTCCTTTTCTCCATGGTGACATCTTTTGTGGCAGCAGTACTGCTATGGTCCTGAGAAGTGACTGAGTCCGTGGGTGCCCAGAGAGAGCCAGCAGGGGCAGAGATTGGGCTCCACTGTGAGTAGGTGAGAAGGATTAGAAGGTTGAGAGAACCCTGTGTTTGGTGAGGAGGACCTGGTCAGTGTCCCTGATCTGTGAGCGACCTCCATGGGGTGAGTCAACCTAGGACTGGACAGAAAAGGCTGGGGCAGGCCCAGTGCAGGCCAGGCAGGTAGAACGATTAAAGGGACCAAGATTCTCAGAGGAACTGAGTAGGACAGACAGAAATCTAAAGATGGCTCTGAGGCCCCAGAACATAGGGGAAGGCTGGGGTTTGCCCGTGCTGTGTGCCTGTGTGTGGTGTGCAACCTGGTCAACCTTACTGTGAGCTCACACAGAATGTTCTCCCATCGAGCACTCATGAGCATAGGAGGCAGCCCTGCCAGCCTGTATGTGTGACCTGGTGTGCAGATCATGTGTGATTTTTAATATGATAACCACGTCTAGGAGAATACTACTTGCATAGTGTCTTATTTTTCTTGTGTTGCTATAACAAAATCTTGAAACCGGATCATTTATAAAGAATAGAAATTTATATTTCTTAAAATCTGGAGGGCAAAAGTGCGAGATCAAGGTATAGGCAGGTTCGGGGTCTGATGGGAGCCCATTCTATGTAGATGGTGCTAAGTGTCCTGCCATGGCAGGAGAGCAGAAGAGACAAAGGGCCAAAGCTGTGTAAACTGTGTGAAGCCTTTTTATTAGTCTCCTCACGAGGTCTCTGCCCTTAGGATCAAATCACCTCCTCAAGCTTCCTTTCAACACATGAAATTTGGGGAAAATTTTGGGCCATATCACATAGTAATTCATGAAATATCTGTGTTTGACTTCATACCTTTGATATATGTTCCCTCTACCTGGGATATTTTATCCATCCTTAGCTTCCTGCAAAACTCTTAGTCATGCTATAGAATCCCACTCAACATTCCCCTGCTTCCATGCAGGGTTAATTGCACCCTTTGACTGTTGCACACATTGCCCAGAGTTGTAATGACCCAAGAACTTGATTGCCACCATCAAGGACTTCCAGGAGGGCAGGCATTGTCTGTGGTTTTCTTTTCCACAGTTTCAGTTACCCTTGGTCAACCATGGTCTGAAAACATTGAATGGAAAACTCCAGAAATAAATAATTCTTAAGTTTTAAATTGTGCACCATTCTAAGTAGTGTGATGAAATTTGTCACTATCCCTTCTGTCCTGCCAGGATTCGGATCCTGCTTTTTACTAGTGTATCGCTGAGTTCCTGCCTGTTAGCAACTTAGTAGCTGTCTTGGTTATCACATGGTGCTTGTGTCCTGATAACCCTTATTTTTACTTAATAATGGCTCTCAAATGCAAGAGCAGTGGTGCAGAGTTGGCACCAGGGCATAAGCCACAGAAGGACAGATAATTGTGATACTGCGTACTTGGCAGCACTGCAGGGCATATAGGAAAAACAGTATGGATAGGGTTTGATGCGGACATCCACTGGGGGTCTTGGAAAGTATGTATCCCCTGAGTAAAGAGGGGAAACATCAGCCTGGAGTCTGGCACAGGAATCTTCTGGAGGCTGATTCATATGCAGTGCAGTGGCCCAAATGCCCTGATGGACTGTCCAGCCCAAGCATCATTTCTGTTTCCTCCATGGTATGTGGTGTGCCTTTTGGACAGTAAGAGTTCAGTAAGTACTTTGTGTTTTTTAGTTTTGACGGTGGTGCTGATGATTTAGCCCAGGACCTTACAATGCCAGGCAAGTGCTGTGCCCTGAGTTGCATTCCCAGCCCCAGTAAGCACTGTGGAGTAAATAAGTGGGTAAATCGAGGCTGGCCTCTGAGAGCCCATCCTTTGCTGACCTCTATTTTCCAGGCCTGACTTCAGCCCCAGCCCCAGCTTCTAACCTCTAAGCAGGACCCTCCCCACCTCCCACGCTCTGCCCCCACCCTGGCTGGTGCTCCGAGTATGTTACAGGACACTGGTCCCACAAGACACTCACCCATGGTAGGAAACCTGACACTGGGAATGCCTGTTTTTGAGGGTGGTAGTGGGAATTGACTTCAGGGCCTTTGCACTGAGCTATACCCCCAGTATAGCTTTTAATTTTTTTATTTTGAGGCTAAGTCACTAAGTTACCCATGCTGGGCTTGACTTGTGATCCTCCTGCCTCAGCCCCCCAGAGTGCTAGGATATAGGAGTGCACTACCTTGGCCAGCTATGAGAACACCCTTTAGGAGATTTGCTTTGCACTGTTGGTGTATTTAAGGCTCTGCAGTACCCTGAGGTAAAGAAACCTGACTACTTTGCCTAATCTGAGTCTGCCAGGTCTGTTTGAATGGTGAAGCCTTCCAGAGTGTCCTTTTTCTTTTAGTGGAACCTCTATCGACATCTATTGACAAACATTGACTGAGTGTCTAGCCTGGGTCAGATGCCCTGGATGGGGACACAGCAGGGTGTGTGGCAGATGCAGGCCCTGCCATCAGGGGCTTCCTGCCTGGTAAAATAATAAGAACTAAGGCTGCCCCAAGCCTCGCCATGTGTCCTCCTCACTCACTCTGTAGGAGTTCGGTATTATTGCCCCCATTTTATGGATATGAATATGAGACTTAGCATAGTTATGGGACCTCTCCCGGTATACACAACTAACAGACATTAAAATTGGAATACAAGCCCTAGAATTCCTGGCAGCAGAGCTCAAACTTTGAAATATGAACAAGTGTTCTTAGAATAGGAATCATTGTTCTGGTCAGCACTCTACCCCAGCCCAGGCTGGATCCGCACCACCGTTCAACCCTGGTCCCAGTATTGCCCTTACCCTGGCTCCATCGTTAGCCCTGGCCAACTCGTAGTTGCTTCTGGGACCTCCCATTTGTTCCCTGGAGAACCTCAGAGAAAAAACAAGACTGAGTCCAAGTCATAATTTTTACAATTCACATTTATTTTGGAAAAAAAGGTTCTGCTAAAAATACTCCTACAAAGGCATTGGAGTAACAGGGTCAGGGTTGCTGTTGGACACAGCTGGTGAGGTTCCCTTGGTTACAGCAGTGGGGGTCTGGAAGACCCAGGTGTGACCCACAGCCATTGGAACCCCAGCCGGATCGCTCCCTGACCCCCAACATTATCAGGAAACCCATATTTTTGATCAGAAGAGATGGTTCTGTGAAATCCTGTCAGACAGCCCCGTCTTGCTGGCTTTGGGCTCTGGCCTGTGTAGTTCAGGCTGGGGGGCACCTCGGGAGGGGGTCTGGGTGTCACTGACCACCCATGGCCCTGACACAGCTCCAGGGAGGCCATGCCTAAGAATATGAAAGTAACCTCCAGGGATCTGGGCTTGGATGGGCAAAGGGTGTGACCGGGGTGAGGGCTGAGGGGCCAGTGGTAGCAGCATAGTGTCGTGATTAAGCGGGGTGGTGCTGGGCTCAGAGACCACTCACTGGCTGTGTGATGGGGAGGCCAGCAGTCGAGCCTCTGAGCTCCCCAGCCTGTGGAATGGGAGTGGAACTGTTCCTGCCTCACAGAGTCCTGTGAGCATTCAGCAAGACACTGCATATAGAAAGTTAAGCATGGCGCCTGGTATATTGTTGGCAATCAAGAAATAGCAGCTATGATTATAACCAACCACTCATTGCTTCACTCTGGAGTCCAGAGGGGTGGGTTGTGAGTGAGGATACCTGCCAGGCCTACCCTAGGTCCGACACAGAGGCTGAATCGGGCCCTGCCTATCAGAGTCCCTGCCCGCAGAGGGGCAGCAGTCTCTGATCAGTCACTGAGCTCCGGGCCACCCTCAGGATCCTTCTCAGGCTGCCCTCCAGTGCTGGTGGGCAGTGCTAGAACTGGAAGGGTGAAATGGGTCCTCGGAATGGGCAGGGGCTGGGTGGCCATGGTGTCCCTGGGAGCAGAGGGATGGAACTTGGCCTCGGCCTTGGGGTTTGCAGCAGACCCTCCTGTTGCCCAGTGTTCAGGCTCTGGCTCTGAGCCAGAAGGTGGTCTGCTTGGGGCATATTCTCCAGTGAGGGCCTCCTAAGGCAAATCCCTGACCCCCCAGTTTCTTTGGAGTGGGAGGTCTCCCTCCAGATGACTCCCTCCTCCAACAGAGCTGGGGTCCTGCTGGAGCTGTTGGGGTCCACCAGCCGGTGGGCAGAGGGTCCGAGTGGGCCTGTCTTTAGCCAGTCCTGTTGTCCCCCCGAGGGCCTGGTGAGGGTGATGCTGTCCCTCTACCAGGAAAGAACCTTACAGGACCCTCCAGAGCAGGTCTTTGCCCTGTCCAAGGTCCATCTCTAACTCAGATTCAAAGGATGAAACTGCTCTTGGAATTCATTTTCAGCTTTCTCCTCCTCATCTCTTCCTCTTGCTCTTTGTGCTTTTTTTTTTTTTTTTTTCTTGCTGGGGTCCTTGGGTTTGGGGACCAGAGATGAATGATGGGACTTGAAATTTCAAGAATAGCAGCATAGAATCATCTAGTGATGGAATTTTACAAACACAGAATCCCTCCATTGGAATTACTTTTGCAATCTTAGAATCTCAGACTCTCTTGTCCGTGGAATGTTAGAATTCCTGACTCTTGCAGGCTCAGCAGGTCTGTAGAGCCTATGTGGCCCTGGCTGTGACCTCCTCTAAGATAGTTTCCTGACCTCCTCCTCCTTCCTCCTTCCACTGCTCCCTTGCTAGTGCTCAGAGCCCTCTGGTCCAACAGGGGCTGTTAGAGCCTTTCCTCCCTCTGCCTCCCCCAGGGAAAGCCATGTCAGGCTGGGTAGAGGGGACTGGGGCTGGGCCTCTGAACTACCACCTCCAGCTGGAAGCCCCACCCTGCCTTTGCCCAGCCCACCTGGCCAGGTGTTGAGTGACAGGCCTGCACTGCAGTGTTAGGGTCTGTGGGGTCTCCACAGGGTGGCTCTGGGTGGGTTGCTGGGCCCCTCTGAAGTATTAAATTCCCACTGCTTCTTGCTATCTCAGCTTTCCTGAGGCAGCCTTCATGCTGCGAAGCTGAACTCAGATGGACTGTGGGTCTGGGGCGGTATTTCTAATTTTCCTGAAATCTTAGCTCAGGCCAAACACATTCCAGAAGGTCAGCCCTGTCCCTCCACGTTGAGGGTCCTAGTCTATGTCTGAATGTGGGCATTTTATCTGACTGTGCTCAGCTTTTTTCTAATCCCTGTCTATGCCAGACCCTCCCTCTGCAGACATCAGGGCCCAGTTTGTGACGAGAGAAGTGAAGATTTCAGTGTCTGCAGGAATTTCTTAGTGTCAAAAACAGAGGCTTGGGCCGGGGATTTAGCTCAGTGGTTTCTCCGCCTGCTGTGCAAGCGCAAGGACCCGAGTTCGATCCCCAGTACCAAAAAATAAAACAAAACAGAGGCCTAGGCCTGACTTCAGGGGATTCTGATTTAGGGGTCCAAGATAGAGCCTAAGAATCTGGAGGTTAAACAGTAAGTATCCTGGGAGATTCTGACCCAGGTGGGCCATGGCAAACAATTCAAGAGCATCTGGGTGGTGGGAAGGAGGGACTTCAAGTAGATGCCTGGGTGGAATTCTATGGGAATATGTTTGCTGACTTATAAAGTGGGGGAGGACAGTACTTAGCACCTGGCATAGCCGAGTGTTCAGTTATGATTGCAGTCCTTATGGCTTCGCCCTCCTGAGACTAGCCTCTGAACGGTCCTGCCCTTCTGTCCTGAGCCCACTCTCTTTCTGTGTAAAGACAAAGCCTGGGCTGGGTGTGCAGCTTAGTGCTCGAGGGCATGCCTAGCATGCACAAATCCCTGGGTTCCATCACTGGCATTACAAAAACAAAAAAATAAAAAAAGACAAAGGCCAAATCCTTTCCTGCAACTCACATACCAACCTTGGTTTCCCTGAAAGGGAAACTGATCAGCATCAAACATTCTCCTCCCTAAATAGGAGCTGATCGAAGGGCATCTGGATTGAGGCTGGCGCCTGGGTGTGTAGCATCACACAGTGCACTGGGGCTCCCTAAACTTTCCTTTGGGCTCCCGCAGAATAATACGTTCTTGAAAAGGACAGGACCCCAGGCCTTGTCCAACAAGTCTGGGTGATCTGTCTCAGGCTAGGGTGACCGGACAGCGATGGGATTCCTGAACAGTTTTTCAAGCCCACAATACAGCTCCTAGGCCTAGCTCCCTTGATGCCTGGCAGCTCTCTCCTCCCTCACTCCCTGCTGTCCCCATTTCCTGGAGGAAATGGTGGGCATGACTGAGTTAAGAATCATGTAGCACAGTGCTGGGGATTTAGCACTGGTTCCACCGACTGCCTGGCAAGCGCAAGGTCCCGAGTTCAATCCCCAGTACTAAAAAATAAAGAATCATGTAGCACAAAACTCCACCCTGCTGTTCCCAGCAGCTGAAGTGACTCTTTGGATTATCTTCTTCAGTGAGCATGGAACTGCAACAGCAGGGCCCGGATTCTCCAGGAATCAGTGAGGGCTGTGCTGGGTGCTCTTCCTCCCAGGGGGAAGGGTGGGTCGCTGGGAGGCATCCTGCCCATCTGATGGTGGAACTGACTCCTCTCCCTGGAACCTGATGTTCCCTGCCCCCTCTGGTCAAGATCTTCTGTGGCTGTACTGTACAGAATGCCCAAACTGCTTCAACCTCCCCTCACATCAACCTGCACCTCTTCTGCTACTGCTCTGGCCCATCCAGATGCAAGCTGCGACCACATTGGACCATTCTGCCTAATACATGGCTGAGGGACCTTTCAAGCTTGTTTTCAAGTCAACCTCCCCAAGGAAGCCTTCCCTAATAGCTCCAGCCCATTTAAGCTTTCTCACACACAGCACCAGACGCAAAGTACTTCCTGCCATCTAACTGAACATGGTGGAGTGGGGACTAGAAACAGATAAATCAAGGTGCAAGACCCTGGTCTGCTCCACCCTGGAGAGGTAATCCTGAGCAAGCTACTTCACCCCTCTGGGCCTCAGTTTCTCTCTTAGGAGAGAAATAGTCCCTCCTCACAGGACCGAGGCTTTGCAGGCCTGGCTCACCCATTCTAGTGCTCCCATTTTGTAGATGGAAAACTGAGGCCCAGTGAGGGGCAGCGTCTCCCAAGATCCATGTCCCAGTCAGAGATGGGACAGGCTGCCACCCTGAGGTCAGGATGCATCATGCTGCATCCTGTGCTTTGAGTGCATTGACCTGATTTTTCCCTGGTGAGAGTCTTCCAGCCTTGGGTGCCATCTTGGAACCCCAGGGACCCCAAAGAGAGCTGGGAGTGGCCAAGGACCTGGCACGAGGGTGGGGATGGGGTGGTCTAGGGCCTGAGTTCTTCCTGTGCTTCAGCTAGGCATGAGGATGAGCTGAGCACATGAAGCCCTGATCTGTGAGGGGTGTGAGGCTGGTGACTGCTCACAAAGGAGTAGCAAAGCACTCCCAGACTGTGATAGGGTGGGGACCAGCTAGAAATGATGGGGAGAGTGCAGCTGGTGCCATGGGAGCAAGAGGCGCCATTGGTTAGTAAACAGTCCCTGCTCTGAGCCTCTGAAGTGCTCCCATGGTCCTTATCACCATCACTCTAGCCGCTTCCCTGAGGTCCTGGGCCAAGGACTAAGGCTATCCTCCATACAGATTGCTGGGCCCATGTCTTCCCAGGGGTAGGTATTTAGAGTTTCATCCCCAGAAAGAGGCTGCTGATGACTGCCAACAACGATCTGTTTGGGAGGCTCCTGGATCAGGAGGGGCGGGTGCGGGTGCATGGCTCTCTTACCCAGCCTGGCCCTGCACGGCTCTGCCATTCACATCCTCCCAGAGCGGCTGGCCCCATTTCCATGGTGCCCTGGCTGAGGTTCACAAGGCAGCTTGCTTTCCTCAAGAACCAACTGTGTGCTGAGCAGCCGGAAGCTCCTCTCACACTGCTGGGTAGGTGGGGGTGGCATTTGGGGAGGTTGAGCCAGGAAAGGATTAGTAACCAGGCAGCGGGTAGCTCCAAGCCATGTGCCCAGGCGAGCGGGTAGCGTAAGTGGAAGGCGGTTGGCAGCATGAACTACCGCTCCCCGCCAAGCAACAAGGGAGAGGTGGTGGGGTGACTGGCCCTGCATGGAGGAAGAGAGAGGTGCCTGTACCCCAGATGGTCACAGTGATGTCTGATAACCTGAAGAGGAGACAGAGGGCCTGAGTAGCACCTGTAATTTAGGAAGCAGGTATGTGGGGTTCAGGTCCACTGAAGTGCTCAGGCCCCAGAGGGTGGATGGGCACACATGCTGGCACAAGGCACCAGCCTAGTGGCCTAGGACAGGAAGCCATCTGATGGAAGCACCGATTGCCAGCCCCTGTGAGGCCCCAGAGCAGCAGGGAGCAGGCTTGGGAGACAGAGTTAATCTGAAGATCATCAAGGCTGCTCCCGCCAGAAGGTGACCTTGTGTGTGGGACAGCTGCCACCCGCACCGGGCATCTTTGGGACACAAAGGGATGGCCGGTGGGCCACTGTCGGCCAGTTTGTGGGAAACCTGCCAGCCCTTTCCTGTGGCTTGCCCTGCTGTCCCCCCAGGGGCCCAGTCTCCTCTCTAATCCCTTCCTTCCCCTTGTATCACAGGCTTTGAGAACAGGTGAGCGACAGATGACAGGCTGGTCTGTGCTGGATGTGCTGACTGCGGGGCCTTAGCTGGTGGGCTGTGGCCTCAACCTTTCCCACCCTGCAGTCTCCTCAAAGAAGTTCTGCAAACAAAGGGCAAGGTGCTAGGATGAGACATCCCTGGCTATCCCACCTCAGCCAGACCTGATACTCAGAACAAGTCTGCCTGCCTCCTGCCACTCAGACTTCTGACCTTAGGATGAGTAGGAGCCCAGATACACAGAGGAAATGAGCAGGGCCCAGATAAAATGACAGGACTTGTGGCTCTGACTGGGCATCCTCACCTCTCACCATCATAGTCCACCCTGATCATAGCTCACCAGACCCCAGAGCCCCCTGCCTCTGGCTCAGGTGTGTGAGTGCTCCCCTGACTACTCTCTGCTGCTGATGGACCTGCAGTGGCTCACCCTGATTCCCAGGGCACCAGATGATGAGTTCTGACCCACTTCCAATGTAGTTCCTTTGCTGCCTGTGCATTTGATGGTCCAGAGCCAGAAAGGCCCCATGGGGCCTTGTTTGCCCTCCAAGTTTTCTCAGCCCTGGGTCTTCCTGAACCTGAGGGAGGCACAGTCCCCCTGGAAAAGCTGTTTGAATTACTTGGCACATCTCAAGGGTGCCACGGTCTCCTCTTGGAACTTGCAGAGAACAGGGGTCATTTTATAACTAAAGTGTTTATTTCCATTCAGTTCATTAGCCGATTGTTCCGCTCAGGGGCCTGCACTTGCTCATAGGTGGGAACCTGAGGCCACGCTCTGGATGATGGTCTCCCTGTGCCCGGGACCTTCAGCCTGGGGCAAAGGCCTGGTGAAGGGAGGAGAAGGGAGAGGAGTCACACACTTTCTCCCCTGGAAGGAGGAGCAAGCTGCCCGTGTCTCGGAGGGTAGTTCTGGAGGGCTAGGGTATCACAGTGAATGATCCGGGTCCTGGCCTCCCGTGCAGCCTGTTGAGGCTCCCAGAGGGAAAGCTGGGTTCGGCCATCTGCGGGCACTCAGGGACCTCAAGGGGCCTGTGTCCCTGGGAGGTACTGAATAGAAAGGGGCAGGAAGAGAGTGGGCAAGTGGGCAAGTGGGCAAGGCCTTCCAGCCCTGGAGCTCACTTCTGCCTCAATCTGCCACCTGCAAAAGCAGTCCTGGGTAGGATGCTCCTCTACCCTGGTGCCTCCCCCCATTTCTCCAAGTCTCACTCAAGTCTCTGAATGGCCCAGATGGCCCCGTGGCAGTTGGCTTTGGTGAGGCCTGGTAGCAGGTGGGAGGAGGGAAGGGTGTCAATGAAAACCATATAAAAAATCCAGAAATGTGCATATAAAATCTTGCCCTTGCTGTATTGCCTAAGTCAGTAAGCAGAAAGCACCTTCTTCCTGGAGAAGGATCAAGTCTTCAAAAGGTAGGAAACGTCAAAGTGTCACTTCATTGTCATTTAAAAAAAAAAACAAAAAAAACCAAACCAAAACAAAAACCCAACGAACAAACCCCCCAAACCAAAACCACCCCTGACCAAAATACCCTAGAGTCCACGCATCGCTGTAAACAAACCCAGTTGCAAGGTCAACCCTTCTCAGTGGCAGTCGTCGCTGATGACAGTCACTGCAGCATCCATCCTCCAGGCAGGTCAGGCCGCTGGCACGCGGAGCTGCAGGCCTGGGGTGGCATCCTCAGGAAGGCCATCTGCCTGGTGGCCCCTGCTCTCCCTGGCCCAGGAGGACAAGGGCCCCTTCTCAGCCCCATGAACCAACAGCGGAAACAGTCTCTCTCATTGGAGTTTCTAAAATACTCTCCAAAGACAGAAAACTTCATTTGCCTGCCAGCAGCTGGAATGGATTCTCCCAGAGTGGTTCTGTGGCGACCACCCATTCACCTGCCCCCTCTGTCTGGTGCTCTGCTGTTGAGTGAGGCCCCCAAGAGTGGCCCAAGGGCAGTCCTGTCCATCTCTCCCCTTCACATTTGTTTTCCTGAAAGTGTTTCTTGGCTCTGGCCAGGTCACTTTCCAGAGGGAGTTGAAGAGAAACTGCTTTTGGTCTCCGATTGGACAAATCGCATGGATCTCCCAAGCCCTATTTTTCTCCCAAGAACCATCGTCGCTTTCCTTATGAGAATCCTCTTTTAAAAATGTTCCTTGTATTTCCCGCCCCCTCCCAGATCTTGTTTCTCTTCCCCCCATTCCCTTTTGATTCCATCGTTTGAGCTGCACGTGTTCTTGGTGGCGTCTCGTGGCTGGAGCGCTGCTTGGTTCCTCCTGCTGCCCGTGGCCTCAGGCCGGCAGCCGACCCTGCAGAGAATGGAGCACCAGGGGGCCGGTGTGGGGCGGAGGGGGCAGCCTGGAGGAAGAGGCAAGCCGAGGCAGGCAAGCATCAAACCTCCACAGACTGGATCTGGTTCATCTGGGCCCTCATCACCTGGATACTGTTCAGGATTTTTTTCTGGTGGCCCGCCAAGGTGACCCCAACCCGCAGAATGTCCCTTTGGAAGAAAAACACGTGTTAGGGACAGGAGGGAGTGGGATGGGCTTTGAGCCTGGCAGGGGGTGTTGGAACCATGGCAGGTGGGTGTCCAAGCTGGAGTCAGTGACTGACAGGTGGAGAGCACTGGACTGGGAGTCAGGGCACCTAGGTGCCCTTTCATCCTTTGCTGTGGGAAAGGAACTTGCATTGACTTAAGTGCTTGCTTCCTTCATTTCCCCCTCAACCTGCCTGACAACCCCAGTTTACAGATGAAAAAACAGAGGCTGAGGGATTGCCTATGACCTGTATCTGAATCTGGATGGGACTATATATAAAGCTGCCTTGTGTCTTGGTCCCCACTCCCTGCTGGGATGCTGTCCACTCCTCCCCTTCCAAAGCTCCCTCTTGGTGGGTGGGAGGCATGGGGAGTGGGTACAAAGGGCAGTGCATGCAGGTGCTGGGCACTTACTCCATCATCATCTGAGACACGACATCGAAGGAGGTGAAGCCGGCGTTGGCGAAGCTCTCCTTGTACTGCCCCATCTTGATGGCCTCCAGCCACTCGTCCACTGTGTTAAAGCTGGTGTAGTCGGGGATCGTGCGGTCCAAAAGCGGCAGGTTGATGCTGGGGGTGGGGCAGGTGACAGCAATGGTCAGGGCGTGCGATTGTGGGGAGCAGGGATGTGCATGTGCGTATCAGGGGAGTGAACAGGGGTGAGTGTGTGTGTGTGTGTGTGTGTGTGTGTGTGTACATGAAGACTTCTGTGGGCATGTGCACGAGTTTGAACCTGTGTAAATGTGTGAGTATGGGACAGTGAGTGTGTGCAGGACTCAAAGCTGGGGTGACCTAGAAGGCTCTGCTGAGGATGCACCACAGGATCGAGAAGCAATAGCTTAGGGGGTGAAGGACTTTGGCCCAAGGAGTCTTGGCACAGCCAGACCTGGATCTTGAGAACACCTGGCTGGATGCTCCTCAGAAGCGCTGTGGGACTGTGGGTCCCAGAGAGTCAGAGGGTGTAAGGTCAGTGGCTGTGTGACAGTCACCCAAGGGAGGCAGCAGTGAGCTGTGGCCTTACGGAGAGTTCCCTGGGGCCCCGAGGAGAAGGGATGCCACAGGGTACCTGAGCTGACACTCTAGTGCTGAGCCAGTCTCTGGCATGGAGACACTGACATGAGTGTGGGGGCACGAATGTGTGTGTGATGTACACTTCTGAGTGTGTATGCAGGTGCCTGTGAATGTGTGTAGGTGTGAGAGTCTGAGACTGCATGTTTGCAGGGGTGTGAGATTGTGTGTGTGATCAAACATGAGTGCTGCCTAATTGCGTGTTCATCTGTCTGTGTGTGGGGGGGGCACCAGGTGTAAGTAGGTGGAAGGAAACTTAAGTGATGATTACAGCACATATATTCACCAACTAAGACTTGGATCCTTGGTAATTTTTCTTCAATGTCATCCTCTCTGACTATTATTTGAAAGAGGCTCCTCTATCACCCACATTTGTCCTCTGGACAGCCTGGGTCTCATGCTCCCCTGCACCCTGGAGCCAAGGCAGATGCCCAACAAACACTAGTCCTTTTCTTCTCTATCCCAAGATGCAGTGGAGGGCATCTGCCTGAAGCAGGAGGCAGCCATGGTCTGAGACTCCAGGGGAACTGCCAGCTGGGGATGACTGGTACTCAGAGGAGAGGGGCGGGGCTGGGAGAAGGGGTGTGGTCTGAGAAGGGGGCAGGGACCAAGGCAGCCTACCCAGAGGAAAGGGGCGCCATAGCTTTGAGGCTGTTGGGGTTTCGGATCATCTTGTCCAATGTGTTGACGATCTGGCCGAACTTGGGCCGGTGGTTGCGGTCCTTCTGCCAGCAGTCAAGCATGAGCTGGTGGAGGGCACTCGGACAGTCCATGGGTGGTGGTAGCCTGTAGTCCTGCTCAATTGCATTGATTACCTGGGCACAGTATAGAGATGGAGCGGGGTTGGCATCTACCCTTTCCCAGACCCATCATGTCCCCAGTGCATTGCCTGTCTCACCTATTTGGTTGCTGTGACAACCACCTCCACCTGCAGGGCAGGTTGACCTGGGTTCCCACCATCTGACCTGGCATCTGGGGCCCTGAAAATGCCCCTCTCTGGCCCCCTGCTTGACCTCAGAGTGTCCATATTCTCTATTTCAGTGCCATTTACAGCTCCAGGGAAGAGATAACTCCCCTTTCCGGCCCCACAGCACAGATGAAGGCGAGACACCTCTCTCTGCGTATCCTGCCACTGTGACCAGATTCATCTACAACTTGACCATGGGTCAGCGTCTCTGTTCAGGAAGCTTTTTCAAGTCCTTCCTGTCGTGATTTTTTCAAATGAAAGTCCCTTGAGTCACTTTAAATATCTCATCATGGAACATCACCAACCTTTTTGCCTGATACCCCTCTCCATGGCTCCTCCACCCACCCCTCATTATCCTGCCTCTGGGCCTTTGCACAGGCTGTTCTTTCTACTTGGGAGTCCTCACTCTCCAAGTCCTACTACTGTATGAGTCCCACCTCCCCTGTGAAGACTTCCTGGCTGATCTTGTACCTACTGCCCCAACCTTAATGCCTATAGATAGGGCTGGACACATTTCTTCTCCAATTTAGCACCTGATCATAAAAGTTCCTGATAATTATGTCTGGTTCCTGTCTCGTTCCCCCAGTTAGATGGTAAACACCTGAAGGACAGATATGGCCTCATTCCCAGTTGGCCATAAGGTATATACATCCTGAGTATTTAGTGGTTTGTGAATGGGTGATCTTCCCTACTCCCTACCCTCTGGAGAGTCCAGGGTCCTGTGCAGACGTCTGAATCAGTCAAACAGCAACCTGGGAGCTGCCCTGGCAGCCAAGCCCTCCATCTCAGAGGCCCTGGGAGAGTGGCACAAGGCTTCACCCTCCCCTTTCCCATCTGCCTGGCCAGAAAGGCTCTGCCCACCTCCAGGAGACTTACGTCCTGGTTGGTCATGTCCCAGTAAGGCCGCTCCCCATAGGACATCACCTCCCACATGACGATACCATAGCTCCACACATCACTGGCCGAGGTGAACTTCCGGTACTGGATGGCTTCTGGAGCTGTCCAGCGGATGGGGATCTTTCCCCCCTGGGAGACAGAACGAGGAGATGAGGGATGGGAGGTTGACCTACCTGGCCTCTCCATAATACTCCCCACCCCGGGCTCTGCACTGCACCAATCTCATGAAGCACCTTGTTCTCCGGATTCACTTTGTTGCTTCAGACTACTGGGCATTTGCACATGCCCTTCCCTCTGCTGGAAGTATCTTTTCCCACTTTGCCAGCTGATACTTCCTTCTCATCCTTGAATCCCTCTGAAAGCCTCTCCCTGGCTTCCAAAGAGTTGTTGGTCCCTTTAATCCCACAAGCCTGCCTTCTGTCCCTCTATCAAGGAGGCACTTTCTGCATGGCATGGTGTGCCCAGCGCTGACCTTCCCAGCTCTCCTTGCGTAGCCTCTGAGATTTCTCCCTTTCGGGGTAAAACCCTCAACCCTGACTGCTGTCAGGGCACATCCTGAGCCTGGGTGTTGGAGGCTCCAGGATCCAGCCTCCCAAGCTCTCCAGCACAATCGGCATTCGGGTCACCTGACCTTACCACAAGAACCAGCTGTCCAAGGAACCCTTCTGGGCCCTCCAGCTCTCAGCTTAGCTGTCACCTGCTGCATCTGCCTTCTCTGTCTTGTGAGGTTGGTGTCCTGGCTCATAGCCCTGTCACTTCACAGTGCTCTGCACCCTGTGGCCCGACCAGCCTGGGAGGTCCAGGAGGGCAATTTATGTTCTTCCCTGTGTCCAAGGCCCAGCACAGGTGTCAGGGAAAGGGCAGTGCGGGGAGAGATGGATACTCATGCCCTCTCTTGTGGTGCTGTGGCTCCCATGTTCCTGCCTGCATCTTACCAGGGCGCTGGTGTAGGTGGGGTCTGAAGTGTCATCCTCCAGGAAGCGTGAGAGCCCAAAGTCAGACACCTTGCAGACCAGGTTGCTGTTGACAAGGATGTTGCGGGCAGCCAGGTCGCGGTGCACGTAGTTCATGTCTGCCAGATACTTCATGCCCGCCGCGATGCCCCGCAGCATGCCCACCAGCTGGATGACTGTGAACTGCCCATCGTTTTGCTTTGGGAGAAGTGGAGGAAGCAGAGTCAGTGGAAGGGCAAGCAGCAGAGCTCTGGATCCCCTCATGATATGGGACCAGAGTGGGCCCTTGCCACCTTGGCACTGGACTGCCTGTGGGAAGGACTCGGATGCCCCGGGACCTCAGGGAGGCCTGTGAGAGGCCAACTTCAGGGTGGTGGAGAGGGCATAGGCTTTGGATCAGATATATCTCATTTGACTCTGGCTCTGGTCTATCCTGGCTGTGCAGCTTTGGACATATAAACTAACCTCTCTGAGTCTGTTTCCTCATCTGTATGTTAAATGGGGGTAACATCTACCTCCCAAGTCTGTTCTGAGTTAAACAGGAAAATGTATGGATGGTGTCTGGCACATGCTTCATGAGTGAATGAATGACAGCCCAAGGGCATGGTTCTGATGCCCAGGCCAGTGCTCTCTGTCTAGCTGGTTGGCCCATTCCTGAGGGGTCTTGGAACTTTCTTCTGATGGCCTTGTACCCTGAGCTCTTCCTCACAGCCACTACACCTTTGGGGAGCTCCAAAATCTGCTGGATGAGGTGTCCAGGTACCTGGTTCCAGTCTGGGCTCTCACTTTGACCCTCTGGCAGACCTGGGGCAAGTGCTCCCTGTCTTGGAGCTCAGGTTCTGTGGATAATGAGAAGGCTGCCTAAGAGCACAGATGGAAACATCTTAGATGTGTGCCAACTCTGAGAGACTGTTGTGGCACCCTGGGGAAACACACTGAAGATCTGAGATGGTCTGAGCTCAGCGGGAGACAGTGCTGGGATTGATTAGCAATGCCTCCCATGGGGAAAGAAATGGACAGTGACATCCATTCCTGCCTAGAGCTTCCCCAGATCCCTCAGGCTGACAGTGTGAAGTTATATCCTTCATGCCTCCTCTTTCCCCTCTTGTGGACCCTGACATGCTTGGCTTCTCCTACCCGGAGGAAGGAGTCCAGGGAGCCATTCTCCATGAACTCGGTGATGATCATCACAGGCGTGCTCTTGGTGACAACACCCTCCAAGTGGATGACATTGGGGTGGTCGAACTGGCCCATGATGGATGCCTCGCTTAGGAAATCTCGCCGCTGCTTCTCCGTGTAGCCTGACTTGAGTGTCTTGATGGCTACAAAGATCTCTCTCTTGCCTGGCAGCTTCAGGTGACCACTGCAGACCTCGCCAAACTCCCCTGAGACAAACATACGGAGAGGCAGCATGTCACTTGGCAGGTGAAAACACCATCTCTCTGTTCCTGTCACCTCCATTCTTGGAGTTGGCAAGTGCCCTTTCTTTTCAGTGGTCAACTCATCCACTTGGATGCAAAATTCCTTTGAGAAGCCCCAGCCACCTTTGGGAGCAGAGAGCAAGTCCTTCCTGCTCATCTTATAATATCTGGCTGGGTGTGGGGGAATATGGGCAGATGGGGAGAGGGGCCTGGGAATGGTAGAAGAGTTGGGGGAAATGGTTCTAGACCTAGCCGTATCTCTGATTTGCTAGCTCCTTCATAGTACCGTGCCTCAGTTTCCCTTTCTGTCCCTACTGATGACCTTTGAGGGCCCTTCTTCCTTGGGCATTTTGAGCCTTCAGGCTTTGATGGGAAGGTCCTTTGTGAACCTTCTCCCCCATCCTGGCCTCTAACCCCTGGAATACACTGGGGTGGTCCCCCCATCCATGGCTGAGGCCACTTACCTGCTCCAATCACCTGCTCGATTTTGACACAGGAGATGTCAATTTCCTTGGCAAACTCCCGCACAGCTTCGTTGGGGTCCTCATAGGTAAAAGGGTCGATGTAGATCTTCATGCCTGGGGTCACTGGGGGAAAGACCAGATGTGGTCACATGGACTGATTCACAGTGTGTACAAGTGGAAAAGCCAGTCCTTCCATGGAGGGACGGACTCCCGTGTGGCTCCCGTAAGAACTGGGCAACTCCTTGCAGGTCACTTGAGCTTTCTGGCCTCATGGAACATGATGGGCACTGAGTAAAAAGTGAGAGGAACAGAGAGACCAGCAGAGATGGCCAGTAGATTGTCCTAACTAGTTCTTGTCCCAAATCTCATCTACGAGTAATGGGTTTCTGGGGCAGGTAAAAGACACTAGGGATTGACTTGGGTGTGGCCTGATAAGAACGAAAGGCTCAATAGTTTGCTGCCCTTGAGATAGCGAGTCAGGGTTGCCAAGTAAAACAAGAGGAAGAGGGAGAGCTGGAGCCAAAATACAGAAAGATTCTTGGTGTTCTCTGAAGGAGACCTCCTCCTCGTCTTTCCAGGCCTGCTTGAAGCATCCCTACTACATTGGGTCTCTTCTCAGCTGCCCAGCCCCTCTGAGGCAGGCCCCATAGCCTGGAGGAGCACTTCATTCACCAGGTCTGGGTGTCCATGGCTTCGGGCCCACCTCCTGGATCCCCCATTGGCCAGGACTTAAGCCTTTCTGGATCCCTGACTCCCTGGTGATGAGGCTGGACATGGGGCATAGTAATTTGATTCCTGACCTGATGTAGATTTTTAGTTTTTGATACAGAGAGAGAAGGTAACCTGGACATCAGAGACCCAGTTCTAACGTAGCACTGAGTCTGCAAAATGCTTAGAATGAAGGGAAGGATGATCCATCCTGCATTTCTCTTCCCACATGACTGGTCTCTGATGCCAGAACTTCTGGCCTTCTCCCAGGCCTTCTGCTGGCCCACCTGGTTCCTGCCCACATTTCTCTCTGGCTCTGAGAGCTGTGATACTGAAGGTAGCTGCTCTAGAAGCTGGCAGCTGGAGTCCCTGGGTCACCCAGGCTTGGCTAGATGGTGAGCGGGACCATCAACCTGTTAGTTGGCTACTCTTAGCCTCTATTTCAGATATTTCAGGAATCTAGGAATTGAAGCCTGTAACATAGGGGCTGGGAAACTGGCCCACTGCCTGATTTTTAAATAAAGTTTTATTGGAACACAGCCATGCTTATTCCTTTGCCTGTAGCTGCTTTTATCCCACAGCTGCAGAGTTGGGTGGTTACAACAGGGACCCACAAAGCCTAAAGTATTTACTCCCTGGCCCCCTATGGAAAAATTTGACAACCACTGTTACCACTAGCTGTATTTGGGTGTTTGTCTAGCCCTTGAGGTCAGGAGTTGTTAACTTGGGCTGGAGGGGGTGTGGTCTGGTAACTTCCTGGAATGGGGTGCATTTATTACTGTTGTCTTTTTGGATTCAAAAAGTAATTCACATTCCTTATAAGGCCCAAATATTATGGAAATAAATATTGTTGAAATTTTCTTAAAAATCCATCCCTGAGTGTAGACCTCTGGATTTTTCTGGCTTTGAATTTTAGACACACACACACACATCGACTTATTTGTTTTTCTGGCCATATGACCCAGAACTTTCAGGAGAGTCCTATGGAGTCTGAGACCCCCAACAGGGGTTAAGTTAAACCATCATCCAAGACCAATTGCCCGGGAGGAGCAGCAGTGCACAGTCTCTTCTCATTTCCCCTCACCTGGCACCCTGCATGGAGCTCTGCACACAATAGACACTCAGTGTCTGGAGAACAGAGAGAATCCAGATGACAGAGATGGAATAATAATAACAGCACTGTCACTTACTGAGTCCTTTGTCTGTGCCCAACACAGTGCCAGACTCTATGTGTGCTACCTCATCTATCCCTCCCAATAATTCTTGGAGGAAATGATAATTATCCCTATTTCACATATAAGGAAACTGCAGCTCAGAGAGGTCAAGTAGTCCAGCCAAGGCCACACAGCTGCCACAGCCAGGATTTGAACCCGGGTCTGTCAGACTTGAGCCCAGGCCTAGTACTCTGGATCACCGTGATCAGTGATTCTTGGATCTGGCAGGAAGAGAGCGAGAAGGTGCCTGCACTATGTAGCCATGACTTCCTGCTCCCTTGGGGCAGCTGGGGCCAGCTCTGGGAGATGCTCTTTCTTGCTCAGACTGAAGGCATTCCCTGTGGGTGACAGTGACTGGCTTTCAGCCTCCCTCCCCACAGAACTGGTCAGCTGGGTGGGGGGACAGGAACAGGCTGGTTCAGCAAGCTAAGGGGAGCCACAGCAGAAGCTCAAAGCCTGCTGAGACACCTTGGCTGGCAACATTAGGTGCCATCCCCAAACCTGGGCAGAGGCCTTGATCAGGAGGGGTCTCTGTCACTTCCAGGCAAGTGCCTATGCCCTTCGTTCCAAGCTCTCCAGGATTCATTCCATGTATAGCTCCCTGCTCCTGCCTTCCTGGTCTGCCATGGTTGGACCTGGTTGTCCCCCAAAAGGTCACATGTTGGAGGCGGGGTCCTCAGTATGTGGAGGTGGTGGGACCTTTAAGAGGTGGAGCCTAGTACAAGGTAACTGGTCACGGTCACACGGGGTGTGTAGTTGGAAGGAATTGACAGCTTAGGTCTCTCAGGAGGTTATAAATGAGCAAGACAGTCTCTCCCTGCTTCCTGTCTCTCTGCATGATCTCTCCCTCTTGCATGGGCTCCGCCATAATTCCATCCACCACTGAGCACTCCCCAGAGCCAATGTCAGTGCCATGCTACCAACCTCTAAAACTGAGCTAAATAAATGTTCTTTATATTTTATCCAGCCTTAGGCATTTTGTTATAGCAATGGACAGTGGACTAATACATCAGCTAAAAGGAATTATTTATCGAGGGGTTCCAGGCACACTTTATCACTTCTTGCCTCTGTGCACTTTTTTTTTTTTTTTTTGGTACCGGGGATCAAACTCAGGATCTTGCACTTTCGAGGCAGGTGGTGGAACCACTGAGCTAAATCCCCCGCCGTTGCCTCTGTGCTTTTGCTCATGTTGTTCTCTCTACCTGGAACACCCTCCTTTCTTCTTCTTTGTGACCAGATCAAATGCTACCTCCTCTGTGAAGCCTGCTTGGATTTCTCCATTGAAGACCCAATGCCCTCTTCTCTGGATTCCACTGTTGCATAGCCTTGATGTCTGTGTGACTTTCTCACTTTGTACCAGGGCTCTCAGCTACACAACTCCACTCTCCCAGCCCCTTCTTCCTGGGGCACTCTGCTGCCTGTCTCCTAGGAGGGCAGAGGCTGTATCTGTTTTGTTCCTGCTAAATTCCAGGGTGTGCCACTTAGTGCTCCATAAATTCTTATTGAGAAATGACAATTATTCATTTATGTGCCTTCTTTTCCTCTCTTCCCCTGCTTGGGGTCATGAATACCTTTGAGAATTTGACAAAAGTTCCTTGGAAAATTTTTCCATGTGTGTGCCTGCTTCCATGTTCTACATCTAATTTTAGGGGGTCTAGAAGCCTTGTAAGCTTTAAGGGTCCATGAACTTCAAATTATGTGCCCTTGCTCTAGAATTCTGGCTCTGGAATACATATGTGAAGGTGGTATACAGCAGATGCCTAATAGATGCTTACTGAATGTATATGCAGTGTGGATTTACCAGGTGCTGGGACCTGTTTATAGTTGACCCAATTAACCCTCCCCATGACCCTAGCCTGTAGATGCTCTTATTAGGCTGAACCTGATGAAATAGTCAATATTTGACTGTTTCTAATCTACAAACACAGCAGTTTCATTTGGTCCAACCTAAAATCATCCCCATTTTTCAGATGAGAAAGGTGTGGCATAGGAAGGTGAAATGAACCCTCAAGGGGACATGGACACAACTGGTTAACAGCAGCAGTGGGGTCTGAACCCAGGCCAGTTCCAGAGTCTACGTACACTGTGCCCATTGACCCGGCAGCTAGGTTTCTGCAGTGCTCCCCCAGCCCCTCTCCTGGCACCACAAGTGGGTGCCTGGTAGCCAGAACCTCAAACAGGCCTGAGTCCAGGGGCCATTTGCTAACCTGAGCCTGGATGAGGATACCCATAGCCCTTGGGAGTCCACAGGATACAAAACAATGCATGATTCACGGCTGTCAGGGCCACTGACTGTCACCTTGAACCCAAATGAGAACTTCATGAGGCAAGAGGAGGAGAGCCATGTGTGCAGGAGTCTGGATTTGAATTCTGGCTCTGTTGCTAACTATGACAGTCACAAATAAACTACTTCATGAGTTTGAATACAGGATCAACCACCCATTATGTTGATCCAGCTGTATGGCCTGGGGCATGTTATTTAAACCTCTGCCTCACTTTCCCATCTGCAAAATGGATATAATAAACAATACCTTCCCCTGGCGGGGATAGCAAAGATTAAGTGAGAGTATCTGTTTAAAATAGAAAGCAAGGGGTTGGGGATTTAGCTCAGTGGTTTCGTCGCCTGCAGTGCAAGCGCAAGGACCCAAGTTCGATCACCGGTACAAAAAAAAAAAATAGAAAGCAATAATTACCTGTTGTAAAGAAGGGTTGGCTGTTATTAAGTATTAGTACTACAAGGCACTTTAACATCCTTTAATTCATTTACTCCTCACAACCCTGTGAAAGAAATGTCACTCCTGCTTTGTCCCATATAAAGGTACCATGGCTCAGAGAGGTCTGATGACCTCACCAGGGTCACCCAGTTGGGCAGTGGCAGAGAGGGGATGAGAAACAAGGTCAGTCCCTGCAGCTCTGCATCCAGGACCACAGACCGTGGTCCCCACAGAGCACCTGCTGATGGCTGGAGAACATGAGCCCGTGCAGGTGACTGGCCACTCACGTGCAACCCTGGTCCTCAGCTTTCTCCTCTGGCCTGGCCACATGGGGTTGCTGGGTGGATTTGGGATCACAGAGTGGGCAGAGCTTTGAAAAGAACAAAGTCCTGCTTCGCTCTGACATTTCAGTGCGGGACGTGGGGAGCAGGAACTCAGGCTTAAAATGTATTGATCTAGGAACAAATCCTGGAGCCTATTTTTAAAACGAACCTCACCTGTTTCCTTGTTATTGACTCACGCTCCAAATAACTTCGTTCCCAAATGGCTCCAGGTGGCAGAGCCCAAGAGCTGTCTCCTTTTGGCTCCTCAGAAGGGAGACAGCACAGGGTGGCCGGAAGCCAGAAGGCCAGGTTCAGACCCTGCTCCCTTCGTGAACAGCAGTGTGACCTCTGTGCCCAGCTTCCTCCCAGTGGGAAATTATATGGGTTAAATGAATAAATACATGTTAAGCATTAAAACAATTCTTGGCACATAGAATGCACTCCGTATGTCTAGCCACATCTATGATCATGATTTTATTACTTGAGGGGAGGAGGGTGTGATGTAATTTAGGACCTGTTTTTAATGCAAGTGATTTTTATTTCTGTGCAGTTAAATGTGTCTGTTTTTTTGTATGTGTGATCCTTCCCTTGCCTTTCTGCTTAGAAAGGCCCTTTCCCTCTCCCTATCTGCTAAGTAGTGATTGCCAGGATCTTCTGGAAATTTGAGTGGTGTAATTATTTTTATATCTATGTTCCAAACTAGTCCTAAGCCCAGGAACTTCTGCTTTAGTTGCCTTAGCCAGAGGTTTAATACCTAGAACTCCATGACTCTGCTCTTTCTTGCACATTCCACATTCAGTCCCACAGCAAATCTAGTAGCAAAAATAAGTCAGAATCCAACCACTTTCCACCACGGCCAGCTGGTGCTGCCACTGTCTCTGCCTGGGTCATTCCAGAGGTCACCTCGCTGGTCTCCCAGCTTTGATCCACTCTCCACACAGCAGCTGGAGCAGTCCTGCAGGACTGTAACTCAGAGCATATCAGTCCTCTGCTCAGGACCTGCTGTGGCTCCCCATGTCACTCCCTGCCATGGCTGATGAGAATCTGCCTGTGGTGGCTCCCTTCCATCTGCCATTCCCACCTTCACTCTGCTCAGGTTACATTGGCCTCTTTGCTCTTCCTGAAACCTGCCAGGCAAGCTCCAGCCTCTGTAGTGTCTCTTCCCTCTGCCTGGAATGCTCCTACCTCAGACACCTCCAAGCAACTCACCTCCCCAGCTCTTTTGTATCTTGCTGGGATAAACCCCCTTGATGAGGTCAACCTCCACTCCCCTATTTAGGAACGAGGCTCGCCCTGGCTATCACAGCTCTCCACCCACTACCCTGCTGTACTCTGCCATCTCCTAGAGCACTTTCCTCTTCTCTTACACCAGCACACTGGACATTTATGACACTGCCCCTCCCACGAGAGCATCAGTTCTACAGAGGCTGGGATGTTCAGTTTGTTGCCTTGGTATCCCCAGCATCTGGGGCACTGGCCAGCACTCTAAGGAGACTCACTGCAGATGTGTGATGGATGAAAGATCTGATGAGGGTCCTCCTCACCAGGAGGCAGCCATGGGAGGAACCCTATGGTACTCCACTGAGCACAGTTTGAGAACCTACACTGGAGCCATTTGGAATTCCTTTTTGCTGAATGAGCTGAAATAAGGACTGAGCTTTCCCCTTGAGCCCTACACTCCCTGCCTCCTAATTATTGGTTCTGCCAGGGTCACATGGAGAAAGGAATCTACAGTCTGCTTTTCTCTGTGGCCCCCCTGGCCCATCTGCCCTTGGTGTTTGTGGGGCACCCGCATACTCAGCTCTTGCCTGATGCAAGAAGAGACAGTGAGGGGAAGCAGCCACCAGAGGAATGAATGGGCAGGAAGGACAGGGTGGCTGGAGCCCCAGAGTGAGAGCAGTAAAGGGAGCAAGGGACGCTGCTGACTGGCTCCCCTCCCAGAGCCTGAGTTCCCATCTCCACATTCAACCATTCCATGCATTTATTCCATAGCTGTGTCTTTAGTACTTACTATGCACTGGCTGCTGCCAGTGCCAGGGGGCAGTGGTGAACATCAGGCACAATTTTAGGCCTCCAGGAGACCAGGAAATACCACCCTCTGTGGCCTGGTCAGGGGGGCTATGCACATGGGACGAGGCCTAAACCTTTGGTGGGGTGGAGTGGGGTGGGGTGGGGAGGCTGCTCTGAGCGGCTCCTGTATGTTCCCACCTGAGGAGTGAATGGGAGCTGGAAAGGAGGAGAGCAGGTGCAGTGTGCTCCAGGCAGAGGGCCGAGAGGTGAGCTTGAGCTTGGCACACCCAGGGAACAGCCTGGCAGCCCATCTGCTGCAGTACCGGAGGAGGAGGTAGAAGAAGGCTGGGGTGGGGTCCCTGGGGATGGACAGGGATGGGCCAGGGGTGCCGCTGGGCAGGGGTGTGTACGTACTGTGGCCACTGGTGTAGTGCTGCAGCTTGTCTGTGTACTCCGAATCGGCACGCTCAAACCCCCGTCTTCTGGAACAAAAGCAAAGGGCTGGAGCCACCTGCGGGCACCCTGGGGAGCTAGGAGCCACAGGAGGTGATAGGGAGAGAGTGGACAGGCCCCCAAAGCCACCCCTCTGTGAGAGGCCTCCCTGCCTGTCTCTTGGCAACAGCCTCACCCTCCTGGCCCCACTTGTCCCTCCCCACCTCTCCATCTCAGGTGCAGGTGCACTTTCCCGTTATCTCTTCAGCCCAGCCCCTTTCAGAGAGCAAAGTCATCTTCTGGCTCCAGGTGCTTCTGTCCATCTGACCTCATGGTGGGTCTGAGACCCTTTAAGGAGGAAGGCAGTCTCTTTGCATTGTTCCCACTAGTGCTGTGCTGGCCACTTGGGGTGCTGTCTCCCCAAGCCTGTCCTGGCTGAGTTACCCCATCTTTCTAGCACTTCAGCCAAGGGCCTTAACTTATGCAGATAGTGGAGTGACCTATACTCCCCACCCCACAGCCCCTCTGGCATCCTGAAGTCACTGAACCCACTGTTCTGAGATGCTCCTCAGTGTGAAGCACTGGGGTCTCAGTGCACCACCCCTTTGCCCAGTGACCTGCCAATGGCTGTGCCACACCAAAGAGAGGGCACCTGGGCCTGACTGCACCCCGCCCCCCCACCCCAGGCAAGCTCCTCAGCTCACTAGGTGATTCGGGATTGGCTGGCTGGCTGGAGACAGCCATCTGGGACAGCCACACCTGGAGTGGGCTCGGGGAAACCCACCTGTTACACACAATGGCTATGACAACCACAGCAATGAGGAAGACCAGGCCGGCCGCCGAGGAGCCGATGATGAGAGGCAGCTTCTCCTGGATGCTGGTCTGGTACTCGGCTGCAGAGAAAGTGCGGTGAGGATCTCAGCCTGGCACTGGGGGTCCTGACACTGCCCCCACCATCCTACTGGGTCTCCTGTGACCCCAAGCCCTGTTCCTGCTTCTGACAGGGCATCTGTCTCGTGTCCATGTGGAAAACGAGGCATCATGTACTCTCAAGTAGCCTGGGACCAGTTCATAAGCTGCTCCAACCTTCACTTTCTCATATAAAATGGGCTCCATCATACCCACACCCATGTTGTGTGACAATCAGCATTAATGACAGCTATACAGACCGAGGGCAGTTCAGAGTGCAGACCCTGGGGCCAGACTCCTTGTATGTGAATCCCAAAGGTGCCACATGGTGTTTGTATAACCCTGCAGTTACTTCTCTGTGCCTCGGCTGCCTTGTCTCTAAAACGGGAAAACAATTGCTCCCATCTCCTAGGATTGTGTGCAAAGGTTTTCGAATAACACCTGGCACACAGCAAACATGCAGGGAGTATTAGCCATCACTGTCATCAATTGTTTCTCCTGTCATTCACTGGGCCATGTATGTGATGGATCTGGTTCAATGCTCAGAACAGTGCTATCGTGTCCTTCCCACCTCTGCCCCATTTTACGGGAAAGGAGGCTGAACTAGGTGAGGTCACAACTTGCCTGAGGTCATACAATCAGAAAGGGGCTAAAACCAGCATGTGAACTTGGGTCTGCACCAACCAAGGGTGTGAATGAGAGTGTGTGTAAGATTTGCTTAGCTTGGCCTGGCTCTTGGGTTCCACTCAGCACTTTCTCCACACCATCAGCACCGTCACCATTCTAGGTTTTATTGTTTTACTACTTCTCTGCCTCCCTGACCAGAGGAGGAGCTCCCCAAGATCAGGGATGAGGTCAGCTCTGGGTCCTTAGTGCCTGCACATGGCCTAGCATATGCCAGGGCCCCAGCACACATGCACTGAATTAATAAAGGGACTTGGGACAGTGGCCCTGTCCCCAGTTGGTGAACTCATCCAACATGGAGAAGGGGTTAGAAAGGTGAAAATAGGTGGTCATGCAGAAGGGGGAGGGTGTATGGAGAGGGAGGTGCTAGAAGAGAGGAGGGAGACAAGGAGGGGCTTTATGGAACACAATAATTTAGGGGTCTAGGAGCCTCAGCTATGTTCAATCAGACAGAGGCCAATGGCCATGCCCAGTGGCTGAGCAGATGCTAACAAGGGATACTTGGGTCTGGTCATAGGTAAAGGGGCTCAGGAGCTCTGCTGGGTGGTGACAGGGCTCCCAGACCCATGGCAACAATAACCATAACTACTATTTGGTGAGTGTTAACTATGTGTAGAACCTAAAATCAACTCTGTGCTAGGTTCCTCATCATTACATTAGTTTGGTGATGATGATGACATAGATGCTATCACCCCCTTTTATGGCTGAGAAAACTGAAGGTCATAGAGGTAAGCTGACACATAGAGGTAAGGTAAGCCACACAGAGCTAAATCATCCTGGGAATCCCCATCTATCTGGTTTTAAACTTCACACTGTTTAATGTCTGCTGCTCCTTGAAGATTATTACAGCAGGTACTGTGCTTAGAGATCATGTAGTCCCAGATTGGAAAAGATGCATAGCACACAGGTTGGAACATGTCATTCCATGCCTGGGGCAGACATTACTAATCTATCCCAGCACTTCTTCCTGCTGAATTTTGATGTGGCTTCAGAATTCTCAATCCCACTGCAAGTCATTAGAGTTGAGTGTAGATCTAATATATCTATGCTCTCAGATGTAATACAATGTTTTCATTTTATAGATGAGAAGTATCTGGAGGAGAGGATGGAAGTGAGTTGCTCAGGGTGGCTCCGCAAGTTGGAGCTGAGTTCTTGACATCCAGAAGAGGGGCCCCTCTGATCTGTACAATGGCTCCCTGGGAACGGGGCCCTGGGTTGGTTGTGTGTGTGGAGGGCATGCCCTCCTCTGGCACCCCGGAGTTGGCTCACCTTCTGTCATGGTCTGGAAGTACATCTTGCCGCTGTAGCGCCCGTAGCCTGCCACGGTGCGTGCCCGCACCTGGAAGACATAGATGGCGCCGGCTTTGAGGCCCTGCACAGTGACCGTGTTGGTGGGGCTTTTTATGGCTGTGGCGTTGTACTCACTGAGCTCCTGCTGGGAACAGAGAAGACAGTTAGTGAGGGTGTGGCCCAGAGTGGGCCCGACCCCTGCCCATCACTGCTACATCCAGGCAGATCTGGCCAGTGAGTAAACATCTGTGGCCCCCCCATTCTTCATGCCTCCCTTGTAAGCGATTTAAAGCCATGCCCTATTGCCAGGTGACTTCCAATGCTTCCCACAAAGAAAGCAGTTTTTCTCTGCCCCATGGATGCTGGACTTGGCCATGTGGCCTGGTTTGGCCATTGGAATATTCTAGTGGATACCATGTCAGTGGACATGACACAAATTTTCCGTGGGCTTGTTGGCTTGGCTTGGCTTCCTGTGCTTCCACCATCTGCCACAAGACAGGCTTCCCTCAGGTAATAGCTGCTTTAGAATGAGAAACATGTTGAGACCTTGACCCAACTCCTAGGCTGAAACAGGGCACTCTGGCTAACTCTCAGACACAAATCTAGAAGGAAGAAACAACCCCTTGTATGCCATTGGGTTTGGGGGGAATGTTTATGGTGTAATCTTAGCAACAGCTGGTTTGGGGGGAATGTTTGTTTTGTGGCACAATCTTAGCAACAGCTGACTAATGGACACGTGTACAGATACAAGGACTAGGCTCTAAGTTCTTCGAGTCAGTGGGAGAGGCTCATATCATCACTTCCGCACTTGCCTCCCTCCCCATGCTGTGATGGGTTAAGTGGAAAGGTCCCTTTCCAGGCTCAGCACACTTGGGCATGGTGAGAACTAAGGTCCTCAAGGGGGTAATGATGCTTCAGCTCACACATATCAGTTGATGGATGCTTTGGGACTCAATTCAGGCTCTGTCTGGGGCAACCTCTAATGTCCATGCCTAGGGTACCCAGATCCTAATGCTCCCTCCTTCAGGAGATAGGAACACCAATTCTGGCCTCCTGCACAGTGCCAGGGTGCAGTGGGACTCAGATGTGGTTGGGCTGGATGCAGGAGGTGCACAGTCAGGCATCTGCCAGCCATGCAACAAACTTTCTCTAAGTACCTTTTTGACATTGGGCCGGGCTAAGCTCTAGGGTCCCATAGGGGTCTAAGGCATAAGCAAGCCCTGGGTCTATTAGTTCAGAAGATCAAGCAATATAGATAGGGATTCCAATCCTTTGAATATTATGAACCTGTTTGATAAGCTGATGAAAATCTACAAACCCTTATCCAGAAAAATGCATGCCTCACGGTACACATGTGTACATCATGGAGTGCACAGAGTCCTTGAGATCCCCCAGAAACAGTGAAGATTAGTGTGGCCAATATTATTATGGCATTATTATGTGGAAGTTAGGGCCACAAAGGGGAGCCAGGTTTCCTGGGTTCAAATCCTAACTTTATTACTTATGAACTCTGTAACCTGCAGCAAATTCCTTAACTTCTCTGTGTATCATTTTCTTTATCTGTAAAATGGGAGTAATAATAATAGTAATAGCTACCTCAAAGCATGGGTCAGAGGATAAAATGAATCAATGAATGTGAAGTGTTCACATCGGCAGGGTAAGCACCATGAACTGGGGGGCATGGGAGCTGGCCTGGGTGGGGGCTACTGTGCAAATCAGGGCAAGCTCTCTGGAGAGTGGGTGCACTAGAATGGAATCTTAACCCATAGGAGCCACCTGGGGCATTGTGGGAAGAAGGGGTAGCAGACACACGGGGAAGGAGGTGGGAAGGAGTTTGGGATGTGAGGCTAGAGAAGGGAGACCTGGAGGTGTCTCCTATACCCCCATGCCAGGGGGAAGGAGGAGCCCCTCCTGTGGGGTGAAAACAGATGGGAAGTTGTTTCCTGAGCCAGATCATCTGCCCCTTCCTACAGGAAGCCTCCTTGACCTTGACTTCCCTCCCCTCCCCTCCTCTGGACCCCAGAGCACTTTCTTAGGAAGGGGATTTCTGTCACCTCCTTTTGGCCTGGCCCCAGGGCCATCTTGCCCTCTCAGCTGTAAACGTGTGGTGGTGTGTGCTTTGTTCTGTACCAGGCACAGGTGCTACAAAGAGAGTCCTCTAGCACCCACAGGGTAAAGCCAACTCCTTCTCCAGGCCCTTCATGACTACTCTTTGCTAGTCTCTCCTGCCATGTCCCCAATGTCCCCTAGGCTCCAGATGTCCCCAACTACTTCCTCCTTCTGAGAGGGCTGCCAGATGTAACACACACCAAGACAGGTTGCACAGTTAAATTTGCATTTCAGATAAGCACTAAATAATTTTTTCTAGTGTAAGTATAGTCCATGCAATATTTGGGATATAGTATAATTAGTTTTTAAAATTAAAATTTAATCTTGACTTCTGTATTTTGCTTTTAGCTTTCCAGTACTGGGGATCAAACCAAGGGGCTCATGCATGTTAGGCAAGTGCTGTACCACTGAGCTAGACCCCAGCCCTGTGTCCTACCTCCAGAGACATGCTGAACTTTTGCACAAAGATTGGCCCAGTCTGAAACACCCTTCTCTCTTCTGTCTGGTAATTCCCTACTCCTCGTTCAAGACTCAGCGCAAGTGCCACCCCCTGCTCACAGATGCCAAGGCTGCAGTAATAAGTCCACTGCCTCTTCTTCAATAATCTGTTGTTCTGATACATGTATCCATATTCCCTGAAGATGTGGGTCCCATGAGATCTGGGGCCACACTGCTCATCTCCAGACCCCTAGGACCAGCACACAGTAGGTGCTTACTAAGTACTGACATAATGAATAACGAACAGCAAACTATTAAAAACCGCTCATTCTGGGTGGTGCAGTACCAGATTTGACCATTAGGTGCCACTGTCCAACAGGGATCTCTGGGCAAGAGACAAGTCCAATTGCTCAGATTGGGTGGGTGCCCACAGGAATGTTGGAGGTTTTAAGCTCTTGATTATGTGTGTGTGAGAGGGAGACAAGAGGCAAGTGCTGGTGCCATAGATGTCTCAGAAGAACAAGGAGCCAAGCTGAGCAGTTTCATCTCTAAAGCCTGGCACAGAACAATCAAATACCAGTTCTTCCTCTTCACTGCATTGTGGCTGTGGGAAAGACCCTTCACTTCCCCGTGCCTCTGGTTTCCATTCCAGGAAATGGAGCAATAAACGGCAACCCCTCAGGGTTGCTGTGAATATAAAATTCCATCAGGTGTGCTCGGCACACTGGGGATGCTTAGCGACATCAGTTCCCTTCCGCCTCTCCTCTCTGGAGTATGTCTATCTGAACAGTGATTAAACACCAGAGGCAATGGGAAGAAATTCAGCCTGAAATCCACAAGTGCTTCCTTTGAGTTCTTACCTGGAGACTTAGGGCCAATGAGACAACGGGTGTTTGTGTCCTCAGCCCCCCAGCCTTGTGTCTAAAGTGGGGTAACAGTGGTGGGTGTGGCCCCAGGTGGGCAGGAGATTCAGCAGGAGAATATGGATAGTATACAGGTCCTCGTTGTGTGCAGACGGCCTTATTAATGGCTGGCTTTCCAGTCATCGCTACCATCAACACTGTTATGGACTAAACCGTCATCAACCTTCACTGAAGAATGAATGAATATAAATGTGAACGAATGAGCAAACAGGCCTCTCCAGGTGGATCCTGCTCTAGGCCCACTGGGCCACAACCTGAGTGCAGCCTGGACTTTCACAGTTTGCCCCCCACCCTCTCCTCCCCTGCCTGGAGCATCCATCCTCCTGTGGCCACCCAGGAGACATTTCTGTTGGATAAATGCTGACATCCATGTGGCCTCCAAGGGCCTGTCCACTGCAGACAGCTTCCCAAGCTCTGGCAGAGCAAAGGGGACCGTGGACTGGTGTGCTTCAGGGCAGCTGCCAAAGGAGTCCACTTCCCCTGGGAAGCAGCAACCAAGGGAAGCAGCCTGCCTGGATCTCCCCAGAGCCTAATGCCACTCATCACAGGCATCCAGCAGCCTTTGGCAAAGCGGTTGTCAGCTCTGGGCTCCGGGAAGGCTGGAGAACCCCAGAGGAGCTGGGAAGGGCCAAATGCAGAGCCTGGGCCAGAAGAGCCCTTTGGAGGAGGTAGGAGGGGTGGAGAGGTAGAGTGGGGCCCTCTCTAGAAAGAGCTGGGGTGTCACAGAAGGAACTGACTGCAGATACCAGGAGGACCCAAGTGTTGATCAGAGCTAGCTATGAACTTGTCAGAAATAAATCTTGCCACTTACAGCCTGGCTGTTGTCCCTGAGGGCCAGGGGACCCCAGAAGGGAGAAGTGGTAGCCAACACAAGAGGGACAGAAACTGCTACTGGTTCGCTCTTACCCCTTTGTCAGCCACCCTTTGTCTCTACCTGGGCCTCCTCCTGAGCTCCACCCCCTGCTTCCACTGTCCCTCTGCACACACTCCTGGCTTTCTCAAGCCCCTCCCCTGACCCCCACAGGCCTGCCCCAGCAAGCACCACCCCCACATCTGCTTATCACCTGTCTCAGCAACAGGCACCTCGCCCCCCAGTCATCCTGCAGGTGTCCCTGGGTCCCTGAGCTTCAGAACAGTGCCTGTGTATGTCACTTCTCTCCACCTCTGCTGCCAACCCCTGTAGCCCATGTCACCATCATTTCTCACTTGGTGTTCCATGAGAGCTCTGCGTGCGTCCCCTCTGCAGACTGTTCTCCACACAGTAAACTACAGAGATCTCTAACAAAATCTAAGACAGATCACATCATTCCAGAACATTCCCATCATACACTAAATTGAAACCAGACTCCCAAGGCCTGGACGAAAACTGGCCCTGCCTCCTTCTCCAACCTGCTGTCGTTGCTCATACTGCTCCTGGCACACTGGCCTTCTCCATTCCCCAAGTGAAGTTGCACATCACTGCCCCAGGGCCTTTGAGCATGCTGTGCCTGCAATGACTGATCTCATCCTGAGTCTGTCTGGGAGCTGAGTGGCTCACATAAATAATCTTTCAAGGTGTGGCTCACATGCCACCAATGCCAGTTTCCCCTCCTTTGTGCCACAACTGTGTATCCCTTCTGGGTCCCTCCATTTGCTGGCTTCTGTGGCTAGGGTTAGACCTTTCTCATAGCCCTTAGAGATTGAGTCTTCTTTTACCGGACTGTAAAGTCCTGAGCCTCTGGGCCATCTGGTTACCCTCAGTATTCCTGGCACCCAGCATCAAGGCTTCCCCACAGCTGGTACAGCAAAAGCCAGATGGCCCAATGTCCAGATACCCAGTGCTTCTCTGTGCCCAGGCCCTGGTGGGAGAGGCGGGCTGGAGCAGGGCCCTGTCTTATCACAGAGGGCCTTGGGCTGCCATGGCCCCAGCCCTGCCCCTCTTGTGCCATTTGTGCCTGATATTCTCCAAGGAGGGGCATTGTTCCCATCTCTCTCTCACTGACCATCCCAGAATCACCCCTGGGAGAGACTGGGAGGGAGGAGTACCAGGCAAAGACAGTGAGCCCTGGTCCAAATCCTTGCTGTGCTTCTCAGCCTCTATGTGCTCTTGTACAAGTCATACACTTCTCTGCCTCAGTTTCCTCTGCCATCCAGTGGGCTAAGCGCACTGTTGAGGGGGCAAATGAGAAGACAGGGATGATGTGCCCAGTGCACATGGTGGGCTGGAGGGGTGTGAGCAGGAGGTCACTTTGGCTGGCACAGCCCACTGATCCTGCCACCTGGGCTGGGGCCTGGGGCTGCCTGGGCAGCAGTAGAAAGTAGGGCAGAGCCACCTCCAGTTCACACTTCCACCAGCTGCCCCAGGCGTGCCTGGCCATTGCAGTAGGAAATGGGTCGCAGGCAGGACCCGTGGTGGGATTCCTCATTTCCGCTCCTGTCTTGAGGGACAAACACTTACAGTTTCATTTAATCACAAAGCTTCTTAATTAGGTTTTTTTTTTCTCTTTTTTAAAAATTCTGAGTCGCTAAGCCATCCTGCTGGAGGGAGTAGAAACCCTGGATGATGCAGGGGCTGGAGCAGCTGGCCCAGCTACCCAGGGTGCCTGCTTCTTTGAGCCACCTGGGGGCCTGGTGAGTAGTAGGGGTCTCCTCCCCACATCAGCCCCATCTCAACCCTCAGTGGTCACTTCCCTGAGACACTCAGCAAACTCCTCTTGAGCACCTACTGTGTGCCAGGCGCTGGGACACAGCAGAGACAGAAAGCACCTAGCAAGGTGGGCATCCTAGGAGCTGACCATCAGGGTGGAAGTGGAGGTGGCAGTGCCTCATTCCTTAGTCACCTTTCTAACTCCCCAGTCCCACATTTTCCTGGCCTTTCATGGTCCAGAGCAGGAGACAAGGAAGGGAAACAACTGGTCTTTGCCAAGAGCCCGTGCCAGGCAATGAGCCTGCCCATTCTTATTCACATGCACAGAACCCCACAACAGAGATGACACCATCCACACTGGACCCAGGTGGCACTGAGGTTCAGAAGGAGGAGACCTGCCCAAGGTCACACAACTGGTTAAGGAAGGAACTGGGATTTGAACCCCAGGTTCTTACTCCTAGTCCTCTGCCAGTGGCTTCCAACCTTGGGTTCACAAGGGCTAATAAAGGTGGGATCTAAAAGCTCCAAGAATGATCATACCACTCCTGTTCAATATTAGCCAGATGAATTGGGCAAGAGAAAGAAATAAAAGGGATTTTTATAGGAAAGGAAGAAGTCAAAGTATCAGTATTTGCAGATGACATGATCCTCTATTTACAAGAGCCAAAATAACAACAACAAAACCAAAAACTCTTACCAAAAGACTCCTAGAATTACTAGTCAAATTCAGCAAGGGAGAAGGATACAAAGTAAACACACAGAAATCAATACTGTTCCTATACAATAATAATGAACTCACTGAAAAAGAAATTAGGAAAACAACAGCATTCACATTAGCATCAAAAAATTAAAAACTTAGGAATTAACCTAAGAAAATGAAAGACCTCTACAATGAAAATTATATTACTCTGAAAAAGGAAATCAGGAAGACAACAGAAAATGGAGAGATACTCCTTATTCCTGGATAGGCAGAACCAATATAATAAATATGGCTATACTTCCAAAACTGATACACAGATTTAATGCAATCCCAGTCAAAATACCAATGGCTTATCTCACAGATGTAGGGAAAACAGTCCTAAAATTCATATGGAACCAGAAGAGACCCAGAATAGCAAAAGCAGTTCTGGGTAAGAAAAGCAAAGTAGGTAGCATCATAATTCTAGACTTAAAATCATACTATAAAGGTATGGTGATTAAAACAGGCTGGTACTGGCACAAAAAAAAAGCATGTGGGTCAGTGAAACAGAATAGAAGAAACAGAAACAACCCCAGGCACATACAGCTATTTGATCTTTGATCAAGGGGGCTAAAACATACACTGGAGGAAAGATAACTTCTTTAATAAATGGTGCAGGGAAGATGGGATAGCCATAAGCAGAAGATTGAGTCTAGACCCATAAATCTCATCATGTACTAAATTAAAATAAAAATGGATCAAAGACCTAAACATTGAAACAGAAACACTTAATCTGCTGGAAGATAGAATAGGTAAAAGTCTTGAAGAGATAGGCATAGGCAAAGACTTTCTGAACAGAGCCCCAGTGGCAAAAGAAATAAAACCGAGATTGACAAAGGAGATCATATCAAATTAAAAAGCTTCTGCACAGCAAAACAACCGACAGAGTGAAGAGACAACCTACAGAATGGGGAAAAAATTATTTTGCCAGCTATTTCTCAGAGGATTGATATCTAGAATATATAAAGAACTCAAAATAATTAGACTTCCCCAAATAAAAGACCCAATCAAAAAATGGGCAACTAAAATGAACAGACACTTCTCAGAAAAAGTACAAATGACCAATAAATACATGGAAAAAAACTGCCATTAGAGAAATGCAAATTGAAACTACTTTGAGTAGGGCTGGGGATTTAGCCCGGTGGTGCCCCGCCTGCCTTGCAAGCAAAGGTCCTGAGTTCAATCCCCAGTACCCTAAAATAAACAAACGAACAAACAAAAAAGTACTTTAAGTACCATTTTACCCCAGGAAGAATGGCTATCATCAAAAAAATCTAATAATAACAAATGATAGTGAGGATGTGGGGGAAAAGTAACTCTACTACATTGTTGGCGGGAATGTAAACTAGTACAACCACCGTGGAAGTCAGTGTGGACTTTTAGTTTTTTGCGTCCTCAAAAAGCTAAAAGTAGAAATTCCATGTGACCCAGCTATCCCCCCTCTGAATATCTTCCCAAAAGAGTTAAAATGATCATATTACAGAGATACATGCATACCAATGTTTATAGCAGCACAATTTATAATAGTTAGGTCTTGGAAACAGTGTATATGTTCATCAACAGATAAATGGATAAGGAAAATGTCGTATGTATGCATAATGGAGTACTGCTCTGCCATAAAGAAAGATAAACTTGAGGTATTCATAGGTAAATGAATGCAATTTGAGAACATAATGTTAAGTGAAATAAGTCAGATACACAAGATTAAATATTACATGGTTTCTTTTATATGAGAAACTCAAAGCATATTTGCAAATGAGGAGTAAAATGGTAGATAAATGGAAGTGGGGAGAGATTCAGATGGTTCCCCAATTTACCTATTCTGTTGTTTCAAAATATTTTAATGTATAAGTTGATTGGTTTCATTTATACTACTAATTTCTCTTGATCATTGAAAAGAAAGTTTTGTGCTAATGCCTGTTTGTGTCTTCTTTGTAAGGGAGAATATTTTGTCGATGTCTTATATTCTGAGTAACTACCTTGAAGATGACATACAGTGTATTGACTATTGTTATTCTCTTATTATTTTGATGTGAGATTTTATTTTATTGTTTCATTAAAAAAAGCTCCAAGAGAAATCTCCTTTTTCATTGGGGCTCACAGATGCAGGGGACACGGGTGTGTGGGACTCAGGATGGCTGGGTGGAAGCTCTGGTCCTCACCGAACAGGAGTGATTGTGACCTGCGGGTCTTTGAGAAACAGGGAACTGGTGAGGGATTGGTCACCACTTCATGGAGCACCGCTGTGGTGTGGACCCCAAGTCCCTCAGAGCCTCCTGTGCCGAAGACTGGATCCTCAACACAGCCATGCTCAGAGGTGAGGACCACAAAGGTGCTGGCTTCATCCATGGATGAATTCAGGAGGAGCTCAGAGTGGAATGACTGTCAGCAGGTGGGGCCTGGTTGGAGGAAGTGGGTCACTGGGGGCATGACTTTGAAGGGCTTACCTTTCTGCCCCCCCCCTTCCTGCTCTTCCTCCTCGACTGACCCTAAAACCATGAGCCCCTCCTCTTTGAAGTTTTTTTCTCAGGTATTTTGTCAGGGCCACAAAAAGCTAACACACACACACAACATTTTGGAAACCACAAGCCTGCTGATGTCAGAGAAAAAAAGGTCCTGGTAGAGGGAGGGCCCTGAGGGCTACAAGCCACTCATTGGCAGCTGGATCCCCATGAAAGGAAAGCGAGGCTCAAAGGGGTCGGGGCACCTGGCAGAGGCTTCACAGTCGGGGAGGAGCAGAGCTGGATAGGCAGCCAGCCAGCCTGACTCTGAGCCCAGTGCTCACACCATTGTGCCTCGTCTGGCAGGTGGCAGGCCTGGCTGTGGGGAGGGGCCTAGGGGGACAGCATGGCACAAATACCTTTTCATAATACTGTAGCTCATAGTCCAAGATCACACCATTGGGCTGGTCCGGCTGGGACCATGACAGGGTGATGCTGTCCACCGTGCGGCTCACCTGATGCATGATGGATACGGCTGATGGCGCTGAAAGAGAGGCCAGAGGTCAAAGGTCAGGGATCAGGGCAGGCATATGGAGGTGCTAGTTCTGGTCCAATCTCAGAGGCACCCAAACAGACAGGGAGCTGTGGGACCAGAGAGGGGAAAGCATCTGGCAAGGTCACACAGCCAGCTGGGTGAGCAGAAGGGCAGAGGGGCTCGGGCAGGGCCATTTGGCTGCTGTGGTGCTCGCCTGGGCCATCTTTGGGGTACAGACACTGATGACCTTGTCTGTCTCCGGGAAGTTCAAATTGAGAGATGCACTGGACGGACCCCTTGTCCGGGCCTGGCCTCCCATGGGCAGGATTAGATGCCCTCCATTGCAGAGTCCAGGCTCCTGGATCCAGGGACACTGAGACCCTGGACGTGGTGCAAGGGGTCCCTGAGAGGGAAGCAGAGGGCTCTGTGGAGGTTAGAGGAGGTAAGTGATCCATTTGTTCCCTCAACAACTTTGCACTGGATGCCTTCTATGCCAGGGAATACAGCAGTGAATGAAACCGATCCCCAAAATAAGTATGTATTTATCTTAGCACTTTAACCCCTAAGAAAATACTCCAAAGAACTGCAAATAGTACTCAAGTAACTATGTGCGCATGGAGGCTTATGGCAGCATTATTTGCAATTGCCAAATCTTGAAGACAACCCAAATGTCCAATAAGTAAAAGGATAAACAAATCATGTGTGTACACACAGTGGAATAGTACAAGGCCATAAAAAGGAATAAAGTAACCAGATGTGGTGGCACCTGTCTGTAACCCAGCACCCTGGGAGGCTGAAGCATGGAGATTGCAAGTTGGAGTCCAGCCTGGGTAATGTAACAACTTAGCGAAACCTGTCTCAAAATAAAAAATTTAAAAAAGTCTAGGCGGGCCAGGGATTTAGCGCAGTGGTGCCACTGCCTGCCTCGAAAGTGCAAGGTCTGGAGTTTGATACATGGTACCAAAAAAAAAAGTCTGGGAATGTAGCTCAGTATGAAGATCCTGGGTTCAATCCCTGGTACTGGAGAAAAGAAAGAAAAGGAATGAAGCATGGATTCATGCTACAACATAGATGAAACTTAAACATAAACTAAGTGAAAACACATACCAAAGATGGAATATAGTGTGATTTTATTTATATAGAATATTCAGAAGAGATAAATCTATAGGGGAGAAGGCAGATTAGCAGTTGCCAGGGGCTGAGGAGAAGGAGGAATGGGGAGTAGTGAGCATGGGATTTGGGGGGAGGAGGTGATAAATATGTTTTGAAACTGCATAAGAGTAGTGATTGCAGAATGCTAGGAATATACGAAATGTCCCTGAATTGTATGATGAAATGGCTAATTGTTTGTTATGTGAATTTCACCTCAATAAAATCTCTATCTCTCCACCCACCCATCTATCTACCCATCCAGCCTCCCACCCACTCACCCATCCACCCACTCATCCATCCACCCACCCACCCATCCATCCATCCATCCCTCCACCCTCCCATCCATCCATCCACCCATCCACCCACCCATCCACCCACCCATCCATCCACCCATCCATCCACTCACCCATCCACCCATCCATCCATCCACCCATCTACCCATCCATCCATCCATCCATCCATCCATCCAACCATCCACTCTACCCATCCACCTGCTTCCTCCCACCCATGCAGTCTGTGTTCTTGTGGAGGGGAGTAAAATGGGGGGGGGGTTCAAAATTGCTGACTATGTTTAGTGCTAGAAGGACTCTTACAAATAATTTAATCATTTCCTTCATTTTACAGCTGTGGAAACTGAGTTCCACTGGGGGTAGGAATCTGCTGAGCCCCTAAGTTCATGGTGTGTGGCCTTTTGTGATTCCTTCTCATAACTGGCCTGCTGTTTTCTGCATCCTTCTCACATGGTACAAACCTGTAAAAGCACCCACTATATGTTGGCCATGGCCTTGGGTCAGTTAATGTAATGTATGTTTTCTCACTTGGCTGGTACTGAGGGGAAGCACAAGCCCCACAGACAGGCGAAAACACAGACGCTCTGAGGGGCAAAGGGCTTCTGGAGGTGACATAGAGGGGGCCAGGATCTGAGCCTGGGTCTCTGCTCTTCAGAGCACTGCTGGGCCCAGAGCGGGGACCACGCACAGCCAGGCTTTGATGTGGTCCTCCCTAGGGTGTGATTCATGCCAGCCCCCTTGCCTCCATGGTCAAGGAAGGGCTAAGGACTCATCAGGGTGAGGGGAGCACCTCCGGAATTCTCTCCTGGTCCCTGGGACAGGGTGATGTCCTGCCTCGGCCAACACGGACACCTGAATGCTGAGGCTGGCCCTTCCTCCCAAGCCCCAATCTGTTTTACAGGGAGTTTAGTGAAAACTTGGATTGGGACCTGGGGGAACCCAGGGGGACTTGAGCACTGGCTGGTGGGCTTGAGGCTTGGAGCTGACTTACCATTTCTGGTTCTGTTTCTGTTCCCCCAGGTATCCTTTCTGTCCTGCTGCTAACTGGCTGTGTGACCTTAGGTGAGCTCTCCCTTCCCTGGGCCTGGCTCCCTGGTCTGCACCATGGGCCAGGCTGGCAGATCCCTGAGGCCTGCACTTGAATGCTGCTTGCCTACTCTCATGCAGCCCTTGGTTTGGAACCAGCCCTATTCCAGGCCTCCCTGATGAGCCTCTTTCCTTCTGCACCCAAGGGAGGCTGCTTGACCCTCAGCCTGGCTCCTGGTTCATGGTCATGCCTGGCATGTGGTCAGTGCTGTTGTGACCATGTTTGTTCCTTGGGACTGTGCAGGTGATTTGTGATCCAGTCTCCAGCCACAGTCCCATCCCATTCTCTGGAGCCACCCTGGTGAGGAGCGGAGCCTTCTGTGAGACTCAGCTCTACCTCCTCTGTGGGGTCCAGGCTGAAAACAACAAAATCAGTCCCTCCTGGAGCCTCACAGACCTGGCTAATCTGGGGGTTCTGACTGGGGATTCCCCACCCATACTGGCCCAAGAGGCACCTCCCACCCCCTCCAGCTCCTCTGCTCCTCAGCCAAGGCACAAAGCCTTGGCCGCTCAGGGCTGTGTATGGGGTTGGGGGTGAAGCTGTGGGGTGGGGTGCTCTGAGAAGCAGGGAGGATTCTTAAACTCAGCTGTGGGTGACCTGAGGCTGACACTCTGCTCTGCCTTGAGGGGGGGTCAGTTAGGCTAGGTGGGGAGGTCCCCAAGGCTCCCTGGCACACTGGGTCTCAAGCTTAGAGGTCCAAGCAGTGAGTTGAGGAGGGGAAAGAGGACAGCGGCCTGCCTGTGTCATGCCAGTGGAGCCGAGGGCACACACTGAGCCGGTAAGGGGGGTGCAAGGCTCTGTGATGAAGCCACTCCCCAGCACACTTGCTCACTTGATGTTTCTCGCTCTGACCTGCAGGACTCAGGCCGAGCACTCCTGGTCCTGGCACTAGAAAGGCCATCCATCCTGGTGGTGGGGAGCCTGGGGGAGCCTTGCACACAGCTCCCCCCGACGTGGGAGCCCGGATAGGTGCTTTCACCTGTGTGAGCCTCAGTTTCCCCCCTGTCAAAGGGAGCCATCAGCTGGTGAGGAGGCTGAGGACGGGAGGGGAACAGGATGTGAAGTGGGGGTGTGCACTCTGTCCATGGGGTTGCTATGACAGTGTGGGATGTGAGGTGCTGGGGCGGTAGAGAGGGGCCCCACGGGCCCTGGCTCCCAGGACTCCCCAGTCTGATGGGAGAGAGCATATTGTTTTCAACTCAATGAGTATCCAGGCTGGGCCCTGTGCTGGGCACTGGGGAGTCTGTGAGACTCAGAAGCCATGGAGAATCCTTGGCTGAGGGGGCAGGGCTGGCTGCTCAGTTCCCAGCTCTCTCTGCGATTTCACCTCCCAGCAGCAAATCAAAGTGGCAGATTGTTCTGTCCTCAGGTGGGTGTCAGGATTACCAGGGGACTTTGCTAAAACTTACAGGGCTGCCCCTGCCCCTGCCCCCAGATGCTGACTGGGCAGGTCTGGGCTGTAGCCTGAGAACCTGTGTTTCTGACAAGCTCAATGGGGCTGTGGATGCTCCTGGGCTGTGGACCACACTTTGAGGAGTAGAGGATTCAGAGCCAGAGAGGGAAGGTGACTTGTCCAAGGTCACAAAGCAGTAGTAACAAGGCTAGGGCTGAACTCTTACCCCTGGGCCTGCAGGTCTGGGTGTGCAGGCACCAGGACCAAGCATCCTGGAAACAGGTAGAGATGAGGCTTCTGAGGCAGGCAGAGGCCCAGTCAAGGAGTGTGGCCTGGTCCAGCAAGTCCTGGGCAGCCACAGAAGGTTGTGGTAAGGGTGACTGCCTGCACCTTCACTGAAAGCTCCTCTGACAACCCCTCAATGCCCCATGATACCAGACAAAGGCCTCTGCTGCCAAGACCAACCAAATACCTCAAGTCAGTGAACTCCTTTAGCACTCATACCAACCCTGCATGGCCAGCACGGTTATTACACCCAGTTTACAGATGAGAAAACAGAGGCAAGAAGCAACTTGTTCACACAGTTAGCAAGCATCGGAGCTGGGATTTGAACCCAGGCACACACAGGTCCAACCTGCCTTTCTTCTCCACTGGCTGTGGTGGATGCCGGCTGACCAGGCAGGTCTGGAAGCTGCAGCCTGCAGAGGGCCTCTGAGGACAGCCTGGCAGCTCTGTCCTGCCCGGTCACCACGGCCCACCCAGCCCTGGGAGCTCTTCAGCAGAGCAGGTCCCACCCACACAGAGGTCTGGGCCTGGGCCCCAGCCAGAGGGTTGGGTTTCAGGCAGCTCCCCCAGAGCTCTGATCCCCTAAGCCCTGTGACCTGCGCGTGGCGTGGCGAAGAGGCGGAACCACGGGGAAGATGACCGAGGCAGGCCAGTGGGGCCAGACAGGGCTGGCCTTTCTCCTGGAATCTGGGGATTAACGGGAGCAGCTGGATGCTCTGTGGCCCCTCCTGCCGCCCGCTGCCCACCCCGTGTCAGGTTTCCCTGGAAGTTGGTCATCAGGGAATTCTGGTATTTTCAATTA